CGACCCTGTCCTCTGTGACTTGCTGCCTCCACCATCAGCTCTACCTACTAAGGATTCATCTGACACAGGTACACACTCCTTTCTCTTTTCAGTTCTACCTTTTGCAATGTAGCTCTTTACCAGAATTTTTCTTTTTACACTTTTAAGTATATTACCATAATTCTGTTGCCGCCACTAGCAGCAAAAACTCTTCTACTGACAAGTATCAATAGGACCTGTCTTATCCTTGGACACAAACAACGTCCAGAAATGAAGCTGTTTCATTTTAGAGCTGCTCTTTTTACTTCCATAGACAGACAAAAAAATAATAATAATAATAATTCCAGCTCCTGAATTAGTCATCGACTGTCTTCTGTGGGTTAATTACTATTCCATGTGATTAAATACGCTCCCCAAGGTACTCACCCAGAGCCGGTCCATGCATCAGTAGCTCAATCAGCATTCATTCTATCATAGCCCAGTCCCAAATTCCCTTTATCAAATCTTCATCATTCCAAGAAAAGTATATTTGGTATTTCCAAAAGATAAACCATGCTGTTCAAACGTCCTGGGATGTCTTCCCACAAAGTGGGTCACGTCAGCTCTTTCCTCCCTGTTGAGGTTTGGAGAACCTGCAGTGTAGGGGCTGGATTTACTTTTTTTGTTTGTTTGTTTTTTTTGAGACAGAGTCTCACTATGTTGCCCTCGGTAGAGTGCCATGGTGTCACAACTCACAGCAACCTCAAACTCTTGGGCTCAAGTGATTCTCTTGCCTCGGCCTCCCAAGTAGCTGTGACTACAGGCTCCCGCCACAACACCTGGCTATTTGTTGGTTGTAGTTGTTTAGCAGGCCCAGGCTGGGTTCCAACCCATATGCCCCAGCATATGTGGCCAATGCCCCAACCACTGAGCTATGGTGCCGAGCCAAGGAGCCAGATTTCACAGATCAAACACTGTCTGGCAACCCTCCCGATGACATCGCTATGAAGTGGGCTGGTGAGACTGGAGAAGATGGCATCCATAGTTGTGGGAACTCCCTACAAGCTAAAATGCAGGTGGTGGCCAGCATAGGGGCCTTTAAAAATATTTCTCCTGCAGGCACAGGGTGATTTGTCTAGTGAGGTAGTTGCAGCTGGGCTCTGGGAGCAGCCCGACCCTGAGGACAGCAGTGGCTGATAGCAGAGGCCTTGGGCTGCCAAGGACACATAGCTGGACCGGTGGGTTGTGGCCATAAGGCAGCTCCCTTGTGCATATTCTTTTTGAGACTAATAATGTATAACAAAAATAGTCAGGCACAGCCAGAAAAAGGCCTTACAGGGAGAAATTAGCCATCCAGCTCCTCTTAAGGTATCTCTGACTGCTCTATCCTATCATTTAAGGAAATCACCAGTCAAATGAAAAAAAAAAAAAATCTACTTGGAATAGTTTTTTTTTGTAGAGACAGAGTCTCAGTTTTATCACCCTCAGTACAGTGCTGTGGTGTCACAGCTCACAGCAAACTCCAACTCCTGGGCCTATTCTCCTGCCTCAGCCTCCTGAGCAGCTGGGACCGCTGGCACCTGCCACAACACTGGTCATTTTTTTGTTGCAGTTTGGCCGGGGCCGGGTTTGAACGTACCACCCTTGGTATGTGGGGCCAGTGCCCTGTCCACTGAGCCACAGGCGCTGCCCTAGAATAGAGTTTGTTTTGCAGAAACTTTTAAAGTCTTTTAGCACAAATCTGAGTTATATACATCTTTCATCAAAACTGTATTAAAATAGCAGAAAAAATTGTACTTACAATGTGATATGGTGACTCCAGAAGGTGATAGGTAGTAGCAATATTTGAGACTTTGTCTCAAAAGAACAAATGAACAAAAAAAAAAGAGTAAATGGCAAGAAGGGAAACTGTTGCAGTCGATTGCCGACTATTAACTAGAAGGAACACTCGGGTTAGGAAACCACTGCAGCAGTAACCGCTCTAGGGGGAAATCATCCATGCAGCTACACTGTCAGTGAGGTTATGGGGAAGAGTGGGGTGTTTACACAGCCTTAACGTGTCTTCCCACATTGTACTTATTCATTAAATTTATACTAGGGAACCCTGCTAGACCCTATCTTAATCGACCTAATCAGAGTTAACGGCACCAATAATGGGACAAATTAACAATATACGCCTCCTGGTGTGACTCACTGAACCTGGCATTGCTTCTGGGACAGTCCTGCTGAAGATTCAGAAATAAAGTGGAACCATCAGACAAACCTAAATCGATGGACGTTTTACAAAATACCCCATCTGAACTCTTCAAAATGTGATGATTCTGAAAATTCATAAGAGGCTGAGAAACTGCTCCATATAAAGGAGACTGTGGACATGACAGACACATACGTGGTCCTGAAGTGGGTTCTGGACCTGGACAAAGGGAAAGTGCAAAGTCTGCAGATTCTATTTAACATTGTAATTTTATGATTTTGGTCATTTTTCTCTGATTGCATAAGGAGACTATCCTTAAACTAAAAAATAAACATTGAAAAGCTAACGCATCAGGAGACATTGCAATCTAAACGACTGGGGAGCTGAGTAAAGGCCTCTGGAACCGCACATTTCACTACAACTTTTATATAAGTTTGAAATCATTTTGAAATAAGCACTCTTCAAAAATAGAAATAGTTCTGTTTCTTTGTTGTTTTCAATAGGACAACAGCATTTTTTCTAGATCAGCGATTCTCAGCATGTGGCATCCAGACCAGCACCACTGCCTAAGGATGGGTGAGGGGCACAGGCTGCGTCTCTGGGGAATCTGTTAGTGGTGAGAGAAACTCTATAGGAGTCATAATTCAAAGATCAAGAGAGACTGCACAGGGTGAGATTAACACGTTGCTGACCAGTCACGAGTTAACCAGTAACATGGATGATTTCTGGGTAAAATTGCTGTTTATCAACGTGTAAAGATGTCAGAGGTGCTAAGTGATTCTGTGCCATAAGCAGCTGAGAAATGAGGAGGGGACAAAGAGTAAAATAGGCTGAGTTTGGGACAACTAGGGATTGAGACCAGAAGAAATGAACCAGGGGCAGCTGCTATGTTAATAGATTACTGACTGGCAATTTCACCAGAAACTGTCCATGTCACTGGGTCAGTTGTGACCAGTCGGCAGTGTGCTAATATGCGAGTACGTCCCTTGGTTGGTAGGAGCCATCTCTGGGGCCCAGGCAGAGACAGAAACCCCGGCAGAGCGCAGCCTGAGAGAGGAGATGTGGCAAACCACAGTCCCGGGCTCTCTTCAGTTGGTCTTTATGTTGGAGACAGCCAGACCATGTGAACACAGAAGTCTCACCACTTGGGGCACCTGCAGGCCAGGCAGCTGGATGTGTGCGGGTGGGCAGGGAGGAGGCCCGAAGTGAGTCAGAAATAAGTCCTCCTGGGAGGTGTCTGCTCCTCTGAAGACATCACATCTGTACACAAGGCACTTTCGATGCTGTGAGCTCTATAATGACTTACAACGAGCTCTCACGTCTTATCAGAAGGCCGTGCATGTGCTCACTGTCCCCATGCGACACACATTCAGAGAGTGGCATAAGAAAGCACGCACGGTGACCACCTCAGAAGGCCGTGCATGTGCTCACTGTCCCCATGCGACACACATTCAGAGAGTGGCATAAGAAAGCACGCACGGTGACCACCCACAAGGAAGACACAGTCTCCTGCATTTAGAAGAGGAACAGACCCATTCAGTTAGGGCAGGTGGGGGTCGGAAAAATTAGGGCTGAAAATGATTTCACTGCAAAGTGGAACAAAAAAGTACAATCCTGAAAGACAGAGTGCGTGATCCTCTCTTTAGGGTTCCTGATGAACAGAAAGGCTTCTGGAGAAGTGAGAGCCAGGACAGAAGCTTCTGGAATGGGCTCTGCACAGCAGCAGTTGAAGGGTCAGGATTATGAAACAGGACTGGCCGCCAACACAGAATCTGAGATGAGGTTTTTGGAATTAATACAGAAAAAAGAAATATTCTAGACCCAAAGGCTCCGTGAAGTCGTGACTGACATGATGGACGGACAGTGCAGGGCTCTGTGAGTGCAGGTGCAGAGCCCACACTGAACAAAGAGCTCAGACGAGGAGCCCGGGGACGAGGGGCCTGAATGGGGACTCTGGTCCCAGCATGCCACTGGGCAAGCCTGCGGTCCAGAGAATAAGTCCTTTCCCCTTTCAACCTCGTAATTCATAAAATACAAGGCAGGAGGGGTCGGAATAATGATCTCTGCCTTTTCTTTCCCTGAAAACAATATGGTAGCCACGCTGAGGTTGAGCAGGGCCTGTAAAGCAGACAGACCCCCAGCACACGTAAGACCAGGAGACTGGGATCAACTACCCCAGCACCTGTGACGGAGGCCCTGCTCGCCAGGTCAGCCTGGCTGGCAGCTCTGTCCTCCAGGGTCAGCCCTCCTCACACCTGCCCTGTTCAGAGGTTGCTGGAATCCACTATTGTGTGAAGAAGTAACTCAAATCCTGACCCCATCGGAATGGGGCTCCCAAAGAGTGGCCATCCTTCCCATTTCAACCCATGAAATCAAATTGTTTTACCTTCAATTGTAAAGTAAATACTTCAAGTAACCCATCTGCACATTAAGGTGACTCCAATAAATAAGCAGGGTACAGAGAGAAAGCCACACGCGGAATCCAGGCCCCCAGCTCTGCCTGACAGAAGAAAGCCGGGGGGACTCATCACTATTCATGACTCACACCAGCGCTCCGCCAGTCCGACCACCTGGGGCCAGTCAGGACCTTCATTCCTGGCATGGTGAGTCCGTTATGAAAACTATTGCTCCAACTCTCCACGGTTGCTGCAGGCACCCAGAGGCTTGAATTTAAGATTACCTATGAATGCCAATGGTGTGGGCTGATGAGAGACACAGCTGTTTCCTATAACAGGCCTTATTTTGTATTATCATGATTGTTTGCCTAAATTTACCAAGAAAATCTGGAAGCAAGTTCAGTTGAAATCTATATACCAAGGAGCACTAGAAATTATAAAGAGAAAATTCGGTGCTCCCTTCAGCAGCATATATACTAAAATTGGAACGATACAGAGATTAGCATGGCTCTGAGCAAGGATGACACGCAAATTCGTGAAGCGTTTCATATTTTTATAAAGTTTGGGAAAGTGGAAAAAAAAAGAAAAAAGAGAAAATTCATACTGGAAAGAAGACCATTTGCAATACGTGAAATCTGCACAGATGGAAACAAGTGAAGCCCTCCCAGCAGCACAGATAAGCAGAGCCCGCTGGGACGTTCCTGGGTGACTCAGAAAGGATGGTCATCTGTTTCTGGGAAGTGAAATGATGGGCCGTGACACAGCCCATCTCAAAACTTTCATAGTGACCCTCATATTTTATCTACGTTTCTGCATTAGTGACATGGCCTTTGAATTTGAAAACCAAATCACTATTGGCTAAAATAATCGGGATGATCTTTTGTGCGTCATCGCTAAGAGCTCAGATCTGGTCATTTAGTGAACAGTTTTCCTGATTTTACCTGCTACACAAAATGCAAGGAGTGAAAGGGACCTCAGGTATTCCAAGTGCTCAATAAATACTAATTCCTGAAGACAATGTTCCAATTTTGACAGCTACCTTCCTGTTTTAAGAATATAAAAACAAGGAAATAAAATGCTTTTATGAAAGTTCACTGAAGTAAATTTGACTTGAATATAATTACACTCCTTTCCCCAAACAGGGAGATATTCTTGAATGTTTAAACTTCCATAACTACTCCCCCCAGCAAATACTATCATGTTAGACTTCAAAGAAACTATTGTTTTAATAACTTCAAATCGTGTTCCTTGAATTAACATTTATTCTCACTATCAGTTTAAACAGTCGGTTTGCAGGACAGTGTTCAGGCTCCTTTGGGGCCCGAGATAGAAGCAGTGCTTTCACCCTGTCCTGCCTAGTCTCCTGGGACAAGTTGCTGCCCTTCTTCGAGTGGCAGGAGGTACTAAGGACACAGATGTTCCGATCTCTGATGTGAAAATACAAAGAGAGAAAGCTTCTGAGGAAGACATTTGTTTTAGAGAGCTGGTCTAATTGCATGTGATGAAATGTGGATACCCTGTGCTGGGTGAAGAAGCTCTCTGGTCTGGAAGTCAACAAAATGTCAAATGGAGTAAAATTCTGCTTGTTAGTCTGGGCATCCCTTTGTTGTTCTGTACATGAGATGTAGATATTTTTACAAGGCACAAAGGATTGGCCTTTCACAACACAAAACAAAACACAAATTCAAAACATATTTCCTTTTATAAAATTATCAGTGTCTGACTCTGTCTTGCTATTTCCTGTGTTTAAAAATATTGGTAGATTTTATTCTTGGGAGGTAAACGCATCTTCATTAGAACAGAGAAATTGAACCAACACAGTTGGAGAGACGTTAATAAAGGCAGGCCAGGCGCAGCGGCTCACGCCTGTAATCTCAGCAGTCTGGGAGGCCAAGGTGGGCGGATTGCCCTAAGCTCAGGAGAGCAGCCTGAGCAAGAGCAAGACCCATCTCTAAAAAATATCTGGGCATGTGGTGGGCAGCTGTAGTCCTAGCTACTCCAGAGGCTGACGCAAGAGAGCCAGGAGTTTGAGATATGATGCCACCGTACTCTACCCAGGGTGACAAAAAAAAGAATACCAGAGGACTGGAAGTGAAGGCACCAGAGGAAGAGAGGTGGACAGACTGACAGGATAAGGGGAGAGGCTTGCAGAGGTGATACCAGACGAGGGAGGGTTCCCTATAACACATCCTGAAAAATGACACTGTTAAAAAAAAAAAAAAAGGAATTGTGAGAGATAAGTTAATCAAATTTTAAATCTATTTGAAGGAAGAGAAACAAAAGAACAAAAGCAAAGTCTACTTAAAGCAGTGGAGTAAGGTATCCATCCCCTACCTCAACATGAAAGAATGTTCCTAAGAAACTATGACAAGTCAGAATTCAGTCAGAGGGTAGGAAAGAAATTACAAGTACAACTGGACATTGTGCCTAAAGAGGAAATCTCTTTTCTGTGGGTTGTAAAGAAATTGTAAGAAAGTTGCTCAGGACCTCAAGCAGAAAGTGGTTAAGGAATTAGAAAGGTAGGAAAAAATAAATACACCCAGAAAAAGCCAGGCAGTGTGCAGCCCGGGGCTCACAGAACACGGGATCTCAGGCAACACTTTCTCGGACCAGTTATGCCACTTGATAGGGGGGAAAGAGCAAGAATGGGATCCCCACCTCTCCACATACCCCACATTGCTGGAATAGCAAGGTCACAGCCGGGGCCACCACCTACAAGCTCAGGTGAGTGTCGGTCTGGAGAAAACACCCTTCGGAACTGGAGAACATTCCCCAGGACATAATATGTACATTGAGTCAACAACCGTCATGCTATCAGTGTATCCCCAATAATTAGAGCTCACGAGTCTGGGAGTCAAGGTGCAGCAGCCCCAGCGCCATCTTCCAGAGGAACCAGTCACACCAGGCTGCTGCTCAGCCCTGAAATCTGGGCCCTGCTGGGGAAAAGGCTCGCACTGGGGACAGGCCCACTGCCTGCGAGGCTTCTGCCGACTTGAAACAAACACTCTTGTGGTTTGCTCACTTGCTGTGACCTGCACCAGGGGAAAAAGGCAGAAAACACAGTTCCTACAACACCAGCATTGATAGACTGAGATCACCATAGAGAGAGCTCCTACAAGGTGGGGGGCTGGGGGCACCCCTGGAACTGGGGCTCACTGGGGTGGAGACACTTACGACTGGGAAGCACCTGGACATCACATCACCGTGCCAGCGAGGGCAAATGCTTGGAGCCCTGGCTGTTGAAGGTCTGTGTCTTCCTGCCAGGCAGGTGTTTTTGTCTGTTTTCTGCTGCTACAACAGAATGCCTGAGACTGGTAATTTATAAAAGAAAAAAAAAATCTTTCTCACAGTTCTGGAAGCTGAGAAACTCAAGAGCATGGCACTTGCCAGGCCTCCCATTGGTCACATGGTGAGGTCGGTGGGGCGGGGGGGGGCTGTAGCTTCTCCTCTGCTACTCCAGGGGTGAATCTGCAGTTGGGGCCCCAACCTGGCAATCTCCTCTAATCCCAGGTACCTCTCGAAGGCCCCATGCCCAAATGCCACTGACCTATGAATTGATGGTTTAAGTTTCCAACATGTGAACTTGGAGGAACTTATGCAACCCAAGCAGCAAGCAACCTGGTGGGAGAGACCAGCGGCAACCCTGCTTGTGACGAGACAGGAACAAGTGGAAACAGGAGGAAAATAGCAAATACTAACTAAAGTCACAGGACCCAAATGCAGGAACCACGCAGCATTCCACAGATGGCCTAAGTCTTCTGTAAAGGTCTGGGATGGGCAACCATTAGACCCAGTGGATAGCACAGGCAGGTGTGAGCAGCACAAGGGCAGACAGACACCTCCCGGGCCCCTCGCATCCTCCCAGGCCCCCCTCAAGTCCCCCTGGGCCTCTCATGTCCGCTCAGTCCCTCTCACATCTCCCTGGGGTCCCCCTCATGTCACCCCCCAGTCCCTCAGGTCCCCTCGCATCCCTCCAGACCCCCTCGGTCCCCCCAGTCACCACCACAGCAGCAGCTCTGGGAGGCTGTAGGAAAGAGTCTCCCTCCCTGTGGCTCACACCCCTTGCTCTCTGCCCCAGGGCGTCTCTGGCTTTCTGTATGGAAATGACGATGTAGGGCCACCAGCAGTCATGTGTGTGTGAACTGCAAGCAAGGAATTAACGTCCCACAGTACAATTTTTTCCCAAGACAGGAGAGACCTTTTCAATAATATCTACCAGTTTCTGTCCTGGTGGAGAGACAAGCAAAGGGACCAGCAAAGAACTCTGTGATGTCATCCATTCAACCCTGGAGACACCTCTGGAGGACCAAGCCCCACTGGGCACAGCGCTGTCCCCACATGAAACACACTCGGCATGGCTCGGCCCTGGCCTGCTCCCTTCTCCCACAATGCTCCTGTCTTCCTGGGTCACCTCCCCAAGGGAATCACCCACACACAGCCAGTCACCCACTCTGCTTCCTGATGGCTGGAGTGGAAATCATACCTTTCCTTTTTTATTTCCTCTCCTGTAATTTGTACAATCTTACAGAATGTTTCTGGGCAGATATTTTGAAATGTAGTGTGATCTGGCATGACTGCACCATGAAACGCCCTTGCACCTCCCAGTGACCCACTGAACATGACGCAGACCATCTGCTCTTTTTATTTTGATGACCAATTCTGTGAACTATGTAACATGTAATATGAAGTGTTCTTCATTCAAATTGAACAACTTACACAGAAGTTGTTCTTTAAAGGATGTTTCTGGTTACAAATTTAAAATGTTTACAAAATGTACAGTAATTAAACCTTGGTCTCTGATCACTCAGCTAAAAATAGGACATTTTACTTAAAGCATTGAGTGAAATTCTTGATCATCCATATTAATTCATGTGGTGCTAAGGGCTCCTGTTAAGTAAGTCTTTGAAGCACAGCAGGTATTTTCTCCAGATTGTTCATGTACAAGACAGCTCACTGTTTGCTGGTCTGTGGGCTTAACCTTACACAAATATTATTTTAATATCTGTTAATCCTTTAAATTGAATGATATTTTTCTTTTCAGCAGCAAAGATATATTTACTCTTGTTCTTGAAATAATAGATAACTGTTTACCTAGATAAGGGTTTTGGAGAATGGTGGTGTGGAGGTGCTGGGTCACTTTCACTATTCATGAAGAGACAAGGAGGATGTAAGACCTTGGTTCTGTGTGAAGACAGAGGCTCAGGGGCTGGCAGGTGCGAGGCCTTTCCTCAGCACTGTTTGCTCACATCCCAGCTAAGCGATTGTCCACTGATGGTTTTACACAGGAAAGGCTGTACAGTGACCATGGAAGTGACAGAGTGTTAGAAGATGACCCAGGAGGAGGCCCAGGGCCAGCAGGAGCCTCTGGAGGAGAGAGCTGGGCACTGCTCGCTGGTGGGTGAGAAGGACCTGCTCAGCTCCCTCAGACAGCTGTGGGCATCGGTTATTTGCACCCTAAGCTAAAAGATTTACCACTTTCCTGAACAAGAAAGGATTTTTTATTTTTTTATTTCAGATTAATACAAGGATGCAGATAATTAGGTAACAATGTCTGT